TCCCCACTGGTCTACACCGAGGACCATGATCGATGGGCTCGCGTGCAGCACCAGTATAACAAGGACTTTGCGGAGTACACTCTCCTCCAGCACGCGTATGACGCAAAGCAAGCTGCGCACGACGCGGCCAACACACTTCTCCAACAGTACCGTCGTCGCCACTCTGCCTGGAACGTTGCCAACCGCAAATGTCTCGCTATCCTGTCTGCATGCGTTCCTTCCTCCCTCAAACACGAAATTACCCCCTCCTCCGCTCCCGAGTTCTGGAAAGAGCTATGTGCCACCTATGACCTCCAGGACACCAACTCTCTCCTAGCGCTCCACCGCGCCTTCCTCGACATCAACCTCGACTCCTGCCCCAACGCCCTCTCCTTCACGCGCCGCCTCCTCACCACTGCCAAACGCCTTGCCGATCGTCGCTCTCCCCTTCCCGACTCCTTCATCGTCTGCCGCCTCCTCGACGGCCTCACACCCATGTACGAGGCCCGTCGCGTGGCGTTCAATGAGGTCCATGCCAGCTTCCCACCCGTCTCCGCCTATGTAGCCGCATGGATTCTGAAAACTGAAGCGGAGCTTCTCCGCCAGTCTCCTCCGACGGCTCATGCTGCCCAAGCAAAAGGAGGACGTGGTGCTGGCCGTGGCGGTACTTCGGCGGGACGATCGGGTGGTGGACATGGCGGGGGGAGCAGTGGAGGACGTGGAGGTAGCAGTGGTTCCAGCAGCACCGGCGGCTTCTTCCCGTGTCTGAATCTCATCCGCAACGACCCTCAGAAGGGAAAGCGCTGCCTCCAAACTACCCATGCCGCCACCACATGCCTCAAGGCCCTCACTGATGGTGGCTTGATCGAGGCAACACGGGCACGCCCCCTCGCTGGTCCGCTATCACTCCACCTCCCACTCCCTTTGATGTTCGTACCTCTCCGCCTACCAGCCCTCTACCTCTCTCCACCACATCCTCGCACAGCACCTCCCTCCACAGATCCTCCAGCAGGTCACGCCCCTCCTCCCGTCCCCGCAGCCGCAGCAGACTCAGCAGCCGCAGCAGACTCAGCAGCCGCAGCAGACCCAGCAGCCGCAGCAGTCCCAGCAGCAGCCGCAGCAGCTCCTCCAGCAGCTGCAACAGTCTCAGCAGCCCCTGCAGTCTCAGCAGCAGCCCTCCCCTCCCTGCCTGGAGCTCCGGCCTCTCAGCTCCTGCTACTCCTGCGCAGGCCCCCACCGGACCTCCTGGCTTTACCCCATTTCCCTCTCCTGGCTTCATCAACCATGTTAGCCATGCTTCTCCTGCTATTCCTCCAATGTATCCCGAATCTATTAATGAAACCTCCTTCAGTACTCGTGTCTCACCCCACCCTCCTTCCATTGAGTTTGTCATTGACTGCGGCGCTAGCACAGTCCTTCGTGACGCTGGTGCCCTCACCCCCCCCTAACCCCTCCACCATCATTGGAGCCATTCTATTTTCTTGATCACCTCCGCCATACCTCCACTCTTCCCTGCCCCCTCTTCCCCTCAGGTTCAGTCACTGGCTTCCATGTCCCCTCCCTTCGCACTAGCCTTGCTCCCAAGGTGCACTTCAACGGGCCGGGGTCACAACAATCTACCCCGGCCACGCCACCCACTGTGACCTCTTTCACTCATCCACGGTCATTTCATCGTCCATGTTCCCATGTGTTCTCGCACTCCATGTACACCCTTCACACTCCCCATCCATGAGCATGTTACACTACCTCCACCATCCCTCCCCTCCCCCCTCCCCTCTTTCATCCGCAACCTCCCCCAACCTCCCCTCCCACCCCTCCTGCTCCCCCCCATCTCAGTGCCATTGTCGTGATCTTACACATCCTGCCATCCTCCTCCACCACTGCCTAGGTCACCCCAACTTTGCCACCCTCCACAAGGCGTCGCCTCCAGGCTCCTCAATGGCCTTCCCCTCACTCTCCCCCACTCCCTCCCTCTCCCGCCCCCCCTTGCACCATCTGTGTCCAGAGCAAGCTCCAGCAACTTCCTCATAAAAGTCACCCTTCTTGTGCCCCAGAGCTCCTGGATCTTGTCCACATGGATCTCTGGGGCCCCAACCCCTCCCCCACCCGTCAAAGGCACCGCTACCTCCTCGTCCTGGTCGATGACCGCTCACGATAAACCTCGGTCTCCCTCCTTCGCACGAAGGCCGATGCACTGGCCTTTATCATCGCCTGGGCCGAGCAGGCGCACACCCACTTCGGTCGCCCCGTTCGCCGCCTCCATTTTGATGGCGGCGGTGAATTCCTCAATCACCATCTCTCTTCCTATCTCTGCACCCATGGTTTCACCACACTTACACCCTCCCTCACTCCCCTCAGCAGAAATGGGCGTGGCAGAAGCTCGTGTTCGAGGAGTTACAAGACCGCCAGATGTCTTCTCGTTCATGCCTCCTGCACGCCTTCTCTTTGGGGTTATGCTCTTCTCCACGTCGTCCTTCTCACTAACCTGTATCCCTACCCTCTCCTCCCCTCCACCACCCCCACCGAGCTGTGGACGTCAACTAAACCCGACGTCTCCCCCCTGCGTCTGGGTTTCCCAAGGCGTATGTTCTCATACCACCCGTCCGACCGCTCCACACAGCAGGGACGCTCGTCTCCAAGAGTCTACCTTGTGTATTCCTTGGTCACAACACCTCCTCCCCTGATATTTGTTCCTTCATCCCCCCTCAGGTCGCCCTCATTCGTAGTCGGGACGTCATCTTTGACGAATCCTCCCCGTACTACACCTCCCCTGCCTCATCTGACTCACTCAACATTCCTCCTCGCCCCTTCATCCCCTTGACCTGTCACCCCCTCCTCCTCCCCTCTCCCTCTTATTCCCCCATCCCCAGCACCTCCTCCTCACGAATCTGCTCCCTCTTCATCTTCCTCAGGTGACATTCTTGACCCAGTACTCCCCCTCTCCCTCTTATTCCCCCATCCCCAGCACCTCCTCCTCACGAATCTGCTCCCTCTTCATCTTCCTCAGGTGACATTCTTGACCCAGTACTCCCCCCTCTCCCTCTCACTCCGCTTCCGCTCCGTCCTCCCCCTTCTCCCCACCTCCTCCCCCTCTACCTCCTTCGCTCCCTCCCCCACCTCCCCCACCTCCTCCTCCACCCGCCCCAGGTGTCTTCTCTCCTTGTCCTTCGCCACCGCCCTCATACTCGTCCATGGATCCCCTCTTTGGTTCGCCCTTAACCCCTCCCTCCCCTCAAGCAAAGGCACTCGCTCCAGCACCCTCTGCTTCCACATCCGCACCCGCCGCAGCAGCTCCCGCCGCCGCACCAGTGCCTGCCCGGTCGCCGCCCCCGCAGCGTCAGGATCCGCCGCAGCAGTTGCCCCGGTCAAGCAGCCGTGCAGCCGAGTCGCAGAGTCGCAGTGTCGCAACCTCCCCTCTCAGCAGCGCAGTAGACTTGCAACACCACCCTCCCTTCCTCCCCTTTCTCTCCCCTCCTCATCGAAGACTCCCATGGTGAATTTCTTCGCCTCCACCTCTTCTCCAACACCCAAGCAGTCGCCTTCAGCATGACCGGCGCCCCGGTACTTGTCTTCTCCGGCCCGCCCATCATCTTCAAGCCGGGAGATTATCACGAAGCTATGACATTCCCCGACCACCCTCATTAGGGCAAGGCATTCCTCAAAGAGAATGAGGCCTTTGTCCGCAACGGCACCTTCATCGACGTACCCCGCCCTCTTAACCACAACGTGGTCAAGGGCAAATGGGTATTTCGGGTCAAGCTCCTCCCTGGCGACGACCCGGTCTATAAGGCCGCTACTGCACCAAAGGATTCACGCAGCGGTACGGCCATGACTTCTTTAACACCTACTCACCGACCGCCGCTCCCCCTGTCGTCCGCGTGTTCTTGGACTTCATCGGCCGGCGCGGCATGATCCTGCACTTAATGGATGTCACCACGGCATTTCTCCAAGGTGAACTCCATGAGAGCATCTTCATGGAGCGTCCCGAGGGTTGGCACCTCCCTTTCCCTCCCAACACCGTTTGGGAACTTCGCCGCCCGGTCTACGGCCTCAAGCAGGCTCCTCGGGAATGGCATGCCAAGCTCTCAAGCACTCTTCGTGCTTTTGGTTTTCGCCCTTCCCAGGCTTCCTCCTGCCTCTTCCTGCGCACCTCCCCCTCCCCCTTCTACATCCTCGTCTACATTGACGACATGCTTCTTGCCGCTGACAATGAAGCAGACCTACAACACGTCAAGGATGAGCTGCAGAAGCGCCTCATCTACAAGGACCTGGGGGAGGTCCGCGAGATGCCACAGAGCACAGATGTCACACAGCACAGATGCCACACAGCACAGATTCCACACAGCACAGATGCCACACAGCACCACATATCCGCGACACACATGCCTGCTGTTGAGCCAAGCACAGCAGACACCAGCACAGCAGACACCAGCACAGCAGACACCAGCACAGAAGAAACCAGCACAGAAGACACCGGCACAGCAGACACCAGCACAGCAGACACCAGCACAGCAGACACCAGCACAGAAGACACCAGCACAGCAGACACCAGCACAGCAGACACCAGCACAGCAGCCCAGCACAGCAGGCCGCAGTGGTTTCATTCATGACACAGATAGGTAAGCTCACAGTGGCGCATACCAATGCAAGTCGTGCCGTTAGGCTGGAGAGACAAGCCAGCGTCACACACACAGGAGGCCGCTCCAGTGCTGCTGTTTTTTATGCACGTGCTGTGCTCGCCACAACTCTTGAGCACGCATGTGTCTGGGAGGGGATGAGGAGAGGAGGGGAGGAGGGAATGAGGGGAGGAGGGAAGGAGGGAGGAGGGGAGGTGGGGAGGAGAGGGGAGGAACCGTGAGTGCTATGGGCACATATTGCAAGGGCATACATAGTCTAAGCGCACAGCAACAAGCAAACACAATGCTAAGCAAGCATCGGAGAGCATAAACGACTAAGCCCAGGCATAGACTGTGCTTTCAGCGCCTACCAGTGCACGCGATGACTTTTGGGTCGACTCAAAAGTGAGCGGGCCATACAAGGCTAAGCCCAGGCACATACTGTGCATTCAGCACCTACCGGTGCACGTCCTGCCATCAGCCTGCAGAACGAAGCCCACGTTACAAACACAGGATGCCGCTCCAGCACTGTCCTTGACGCACGTGCCGTTCCACTACACTTCTTCAGTGCGCATGTGTCTGAGAGGAGAAGGGAGAAAATGGAGTAGCAGATGGATGAGAATGCCATAGTTGACATGAGAAGTGATCGTTCCCACCACTCTTCTTCAGTGCGCATGTGTCTGGGGAAGGAGCGTGAGAAGCGATTTGGGTGTGCTGGTATCACAAACACAGCATGCTACTACAGAACGTTGGCTCTTGACGCACGTGCCGTTCCCACCACAGGCCTTCAGAACACTCGTGTCTAGGGAAGGGGGCGGGGGAGAGAGGGAAACGATGCACGAAACGTGACATGTGAAGAGAATATTAGTGAGCGTATGACCCGTGTGCCATTGTCGACTGAAAAGTCATCACGATCCACGAAACGGTACATGTGAAGAAAATATAACGTAGGATGAAAAGTCGCCACACCGCAGCACAAGTCGCCACACAGCAGCACAAGTCGCCACACAGCAGCCCAAGTCGCCACACAGCAGCCCAAGTCGCCAAACAGCAGCAGCGCCTACCAGTGCATGTTCTGCCATCAGGCTGCAGCACAAAGCCGCTGTTACAAACACAGAAGCCACGTCACCATAGCCCTTGACACTAGGCTTGAGCACGAACCCGACCTGATCCGACCCGACCCGACTTTGCCCTACCCGATGTCGAGGTTCGGGTTGGGTCGGATCGGGTCAAGTCGGGTCGGAGTTCAGGAAATGTCAACCCGACCCGGCTTTAATAGGTCGGGTACTACCTGACCCGATTTCGGGTCGGGTCGACCCTCCGCGAATGTCGACCCGACCCGTCAAAAGTCGGGTTCGGGTCGGGTTACCCGACCAGACCCGACCCGTTGCTCAAGCCTACTTGACACACGTGCCGTTCCCACCACACGCCTTTAGGGCGCATGTGTCTGGATGGAAGGGGGAGAAGAGGGGAGGGGGGGGGGGGGGGGTGTGTAGTTGATATATCTGCTGCTCCTACCTCAGGCCCTGAGCTCGTATGTGTCTGGGACGGAGAAGAAGTGAAGCGAAAGGGAGAGAAGATGCAGAGGACACTCTTTACAGGTGAGTGGCAAGCGCAGCAGCCCATGGCATCACCACAGTGCACACACCGGCTTTCAGCACACAGCAGCACGCATGGGTTGGCACATAGCGGCACACAGCAGCACCAAGCAGCACACAGCGACACCCAACAGCACCCAGCAGCACCTACCAGTGCACGTCCTGCCATCAGCCTGCAGCTTAAAGCCACTGTCACAAATGCAGGACGCCACTCCACCGCTGTCCTTGACGCACATGCCATTCCCTCCACACTTCTTTAGCGCGCACGTGTCTGGGAGGAGAGAGGGGGGGGGGGGGGGGGGGGGTTTCGGGGATAGGGAGTTAAGTGTGGGGAGGGAGCTGAGTGTGGGGATGGAGTGGGGGGAAGGGAGGCTGCGGATAACAAATGAGGGAAATGATGACGCGTCCCCATCAACCTCGATGCTGATGAGAGTCTAATTGTGCTCTGGGTACGGGCTTGTGACACCGGGATCGTGACACCAGGCTCGTGGCACTGGGCTCGTGACACCGGGCTCGTAGCAGCACGCAGCAGCACCAAGCAGCACACAGCGGCACCCAACAGCACACGGGAGCACCCAGCAACTCCTACCAGTGCACGTCCTGCCATCAGCCTGCAGCTTAAAGCCACTGTTACAAACGCAGGACGCCGCTCCAGCGCTGTCCTTGATGCATGTGCTGTTCCCTCCACACTTCTTTAGCGCGCACGTGTCTGCAAGGAGCGGGGAGAACGTTTGGGGGGGAGGGGGGATGGGGAGGGAATTGAGTGAGATTGGGGTGGGGGAAAGGGAGACTGCGAATAACAGATGAGGGAAACGACTCGCAAACATGATAAACCACGGCACTGATGAGGCTCTAATCGCGCTCCGGCCATGAGCTCCTGACACCGGGCTCCTGACACTGGGCTCCTGACACTGGGCACCTGACACGGCCTCCTCGGACGTACATGAATACTGCCTGGTGCTCTTCATGTCAGCAACACTCACCAGCACAGCAGCAAGCACGTACCAGCACAGCAACACTGACTCACCGACACAGCCAGTGGAAGTCATGGCGAACCCAACGTTGCAGATGCAGGTGGCATCACCCCTCTCCTTCACACAGTACGCATTGGCGCCGCAATTTCGAATCACGCATGAGTCTGCCGAGGGTGGCAAGGAACAAGTAGGGGGTAGAGAAAGGAAGGAACAAAGAGATGGGATGGGGCATGGATGGATAAGGCGAATGGTAAGAGTGCAAGAGAACTTGGAATTGTCAACGTCGTAAGCTTTCAGGGTTAGGGACATGGAGTATAGATGCATTGAGCGGCAAGGGGTCCCTGTCGCTTAAAGAACACCAACGGGTGTGTTTCCGGGTCCTTCGATCCAGGGAAATGCCATTGGGTGCTGACTTACGGTCGCGGGCGTTACTTGTCGCTGGCAGGCGGACGGCAGCAGCCCTGAGCGCACAGGCTGTGAGAGGTGGTTTGGGGGAGAGGGTGGGGGGAGGGTGGGGGAGAGAGGGGGGGAGGGGAGGAAAGGGAATGGGGGTAAGGAGGGAAGGAAGGGAAGGCTAAAGGGAGGGGAGGGGAATGGCAGCCGCGGACGTTGCTGGTAGCTGGCGGGTGAACGGCAGCAGCCCTGGGCGCACAGGTTGTGGGCGGGTGAAGGGGGGGTGGGGGGGGGGGGGGGGGGAGGGGGAGGAGGGAGGAAAGAGAATGGGATAAGGAGGGCGGGAAGGGAAGGCTGATGGGGTTGAAGCGAATGGCAGCCGCAGGCGTTATTCGTAGCTGGCGGGCGGACAGGACCTGGGCGCACAGGCGGTGAGCGGGTGGGGGGTGAGAAAGGAAGCAAAGAGAATGGGTTGAGGGAAGAAGGGGAGGCTGAAGGGGGGGGGGGGGGGGGGAATGGCAACGGTGGGCGTTACTGGTGGCGGGCGAACGGCAGACGTGGGCGCACCGGCTGTGAGAAGAGGAGAGGAGAATCGCGGAAGGGGGGAAGCGGGGAAGGTGGGAAGCGGGGAAGGTGGGAAGCGGGGAAGGTGGGAAGGGGCGAAAGGCGGGAAAGAGGGAAGGAACATAAGCCAAACGATTT